AAATCTGCAGCCTGGGGTAGTTTGGTCATGTTACCAAAGAGAAGGGGAGCCGTTAAATTCAGACAGTGAGCAGAGTAACACATGGTTTGAATTTCTGAAAGAACCGAAAACCACTAGTGACTGTGACCCCATCCGTGGTTGAAGTTGGTGGGTGTTGCCGTATACCTGCACCTCTGTGGGAGAACCCTATTTGACTGCTGTGGGCAATTATGGCTCACAGAGATATGACACCATGTTTATCGTGAAATAAATAGGAGCTCTCTCGGTCCATTTCAGATAGGGCAAATGTGATGCGGGGTGTGTGTGTGAGAGGTTTAGCCCTCTCCTTTCCTTGAGCCATAGTCCCAGTCCAAATGGGGGCCCCGTGTGCCTGGTTTTCAGAGAAAGAGAGAGAGAGAAAGAGAGATTGAATTTATACTCCGCCCTTCACTACCTGAAGGCATCTCAGAGCAGCTTACAATCTCCTTTCCCTTCTCCCCACAGCAAATTGTAACCATGTGTGCGGTAACAGACACCCTGTTAGTTAGGTGGGGCTGAGAGAACTGCTGTTGAGAGAACAGCTCTGGGAGAACTTGTGACTGACCCAAGGTCACACTGACAGCTACATGTGAAGGAGTGGGGACTCAAACCCAGTTCTCCCAGGTTAGAGTCTGTGCTCCTAACCACTTCACCAAACTGGCTCTCTACACTAAATTGGCACAAAATCCTGGTTGCTGTAACGTCTCATCTGCTTGAGCCCTCAGGGAAACAATCATAGATAGCAGAAGCACCTGTTCGGTTTGCATGAAAATAGGACTCTGAGGGGGAAGACACTTCCTCCCTTCCTTGTTTCTACAATCAGTTTCTTCTGGTCTTTCATCATTTGCCAAGTGCTGAATGGATCTGTGCCACATTCAAGGGTGCCACGTGGTTTTCTTTGACTATTGATGGCTTTCTTTTTTTTTCTTTTTTAAGTTCCTTGAGTCCACACAGGTGTGTCATGAATGTGGAGCCTGAATGGATCCATGCAGCAATTAGAACATGTGAAAGCAAACACAGGACTCCTTCTCCACACACCCAGCTTATCATTCAGCAACACACACACACACACCATCACACCTGTCTGGATTCTTTATTCATTCCAATGGAAAATGAATCTCTGGCTCTATCTTTCCTCTTTGCCACTCTGCTGGGACAGCATTTTATGTGATTTTTACCCAAATGCCCTGTCCCTTTAACAGAGATGTAATGGGATGTTATTTACCTCCACACCATGTATTAACTGCCCCTTTCTAGGTTGGTGTAGTGGTTAAATGCACGGACTCTAATCTGGGAGAACCGGGTTTGATTCCCCACTCCTCCACTTGTACCTGCTGGATGACCTTGGGCAAGCCATAGTTCTGTCAGAGCTGTTCTTGAGAAAGAGCTGTTTCTGTCAGAGCTCTCTCAGCCCCACCTACCTCACAGGGTGTCTGTTGTGGGGAGGGAAAGGGAAAGGAGTTTGTAAGCTGCTCTGAGACTCTCTTGGGTAGTGAAGGGTGGGGTATCAATTCAATCTCTTCTTCTTCTCTTCTTTCCATACATCAAACCAGTTGAAAATACCAGAATTTTTACTCCAGACCAGTTGGTCCTCCTACGTGGACCTCTCAGTCAAGGAATATGCCCTGCAGATAATAGCCCTGTTTCATATGCAACCAGAACTCCCACTTGTGCAGTGCTCACCAAAAGAAGAAAAACTGGCAAGTGAGTGATTTCCCTCCCCTCCTTTCCCAGGGCCTCATGGGAGTGGTGAGGCTGTATTTAAAGATGGGTGAAGGGAACTCAACCCTGCTTCTCCCATGACTTTGTCTTCTGCACTCTGAAGTTTCCAGCAATTTTCTTCCAGCTGGGCTCCAATACTGGAAGTTAGGTTGGCAGAAAATTGTTTCAAGCACCAGAACAAGGGGGCAGGATTTATTTATTTACTTGATATATACTCTGCCGCTCTCCCCCAAAGCGGTTTATATCATTCACCTGTCCTCCATTTTATCCTTACAGCATCCCCATGAAGTAGATTAGGCAGAGCATGTATGACTAGAAGAAGAAGAGTAGGTTTTTATACCACACTTTTCTCTATCTTAAAGAGTCTCAGAAAGGCTTACAATTGCCTTTCCTTTCCTCTCCCCACAACAGGCACCTTGTGAGGAAGGTGGGGCTGAGAGAGTTCTGAGAGAACTGTGACTGGCCAAAGGTCACCCAGCAGGCTTTGAGTGGAGGAGTGGGGAATCAAACCCCCAGTTCTCCAGATTAGAGTCCCCCTCTCTTAACCACTACACCATACTGACTAGCTCAAAGTAACCCAGCAGACTTTTTTGTGGTTGGGGGGAGATTGAACCTGGGTCTTTCAGATCTGACACCATAAATATGATAGTAAAGGTAAAGGTTCCCTTGCTCGAAAGCCAGTCGAATCCGACTCTAGGGTTGCGGTGCTCATCTCCGTTTCAAAGCTGAAGAGCCAGCGCTGTCCGAAGACATTTCCGTGGTCATGTGGCCGGCATGACTAAACACCAAGGCGCACGGAAAGCTGTTACCTTCCCACTGAAGTGGTCCCTATTTATCTACTTGCAATTTCTTGCTTTCGAACTGCTAGGTTGGCAGGAGCTGGAACTAGAGACGGGAGCTCACTCCGTCATGCGGCACACTCGGGTCTCGAACTGCTGAACTACTGACCTTCCACAGCCTGCAGTTCAGCATCTTAACCACTTGAGCCACCGCAGCTCCTATAAATATGATACCATTCCTGTAAAATACTGGGTTCGCAGCATGGAGGACTCAGACTACGACATGCGTTCAGACACGTTTATTGTACTTCACAACAAGACAAAGAAAACGGCCCTGCAAGGCCAACTATATACACTCCACCCAGCACACCTATGTTCCCATTGGTGGGTTTGAATTTCCTGCCAAGGGTGCTATTGGTGGACTCAAGGTGGACTAGGATCCTAGGTCCCCTTTGTGTTTGGGGACCAAGCTCTTGCTTTAGCCGCGGACCCCTGGTGGTGGTCCGCGTACATAACATTTCCATTTTGCTTAAACTTCTGACATATATGGGAAGCTGCCTTTTCCCCTGCTAGGGCTAATAGCAGTGGGGAGATTTGTGTTGAGGAAACAATCCAGCTGATTTGACATAACATCAAAGATACTAAGAGATTTTAGAAATCCATTCCTTTGTACAGAGATCCCAAATCCTTTCTCATTTGCAGTTATGCTTTGTTCATGTATTTTGTAGGGGGGAGGGAGCATTTGTTTCTATTTGCCCTCAGGCTGTTTTCCAATAGCCTGTCTGCCTTCCAGAGTTTACAAGCAACAGCTTTACCTCTCTCCTTGAAGGCACATTGGATAACTGCAGGTGTGAAGAAAGGCTGCATAATCTAACCTTTCCCTCCATACACTGGGGTTGCCATCCCCCTGATGGAGGTGGGGGTGTAACCTGCTTTTGGAGGCCCTAATCTGACTGCCACCACCCAGCTAGCCAGTGGGGGAGCCCCACCCCCAAGCAGCCCCATCCACGCTTTCCCAGAGGTGACGTTGTCACCAGGGCCGGCCCCAGCTTATTTTGCACCCTAGGCGAGGATCCCTTCTGGGCCCCCCCCCCTCGTGCGCCCACCATTTTTCAAAAATAATTGCATTTTAGAAAGAATGAAAAACACAAATAATCAAGAAACTCCCAGAGTATGGGGCCCCTAAGGGCCAGCCCGCTCTAGGCGATCGCCTAGTTCGCCTAGTGAGTGAGCCAGCCCTGGTCGTCACACAGGGCACATTGTGGGGGGGAGGATGCTCTAGCATCTGAGAAAAAACTCTATGGTAACCTTGGAGTTTTCCTCTAATGCTAGAGTGTCCCCCTGCAACTTGCCCTGCGTGATGACATCGTGACGTGCACCAGGATCTACTGGACAGCAGGCTGGAGCCCCCCCGCTGGCAAGAGGTAGGGACCTGGCCATCCTACCATATGCTAGTCTGCAGCTGCCCACCTTCCATGGAGTGCAAGCAAAATGTTTGTTCCCTGTTCCTGACAGTTCTGCTGCCTATGGCAGGCAAGGAGAAGGGGATGCGGCCTTTGCCAATTTCCTGATGAAGTGAGACTATGTAGAACCATGCCTTCAATAGTGGGGGGAAACACCTTCATCCAATAAGAAGGCACTTAGCAGGTATCTTAGCAGGAAATGGCGTCTTCGGCTTCCTTCTGCCTTTCCTTGAATAGAAAGGCAGGATGAGGCCTTCTTCTGCTGGAGCCACCTGCTGAATTCTTGTATGCCCTTTCGGGACGCTGAAACAATATTTTAAGCTGTTACATGAAAAGCGGAAAGGATCAGAAATGTATTAGTAAGGAAGAAAGGAAGAAAGAACAACAGAATGAAGTAAGAAAGATGACCCCGCTGACCCTGCAGTCTGATTGGACTGCCTCGCCAGGGAGAGCTAACCCTCTTTCTTTTTTCTGTTTTCCTCCCCCCCAGAGGGGAAGCCACCTTGTTAGACAGAGCCGCTAATCATCTGGCGTCCAGGGTGATTATCTGGGATGGGTCACATGATTCCACCCCGGCGCCCCCCCCCTCCCGGACCAGCTTGTCCAATCTGACTCAATCAGATATTCCTGCTCTGACAAGCCAGAGACCTCAGCAAAACATCAGAGCGACCCGAGCGGCACAGAAAGGGAGACGGGAAAACTCTGCAGCCCTGCTTTCCGGATCGTCCGCGCTAAGCCACTACAGGCCGGGGCCTTCCCAGAGAACCCAGGTGTCCTGACACGCACACACGCACACACGCACACACACACGAGGGATTACTCTCCTGGCCTTAGGAACCCAGAAGTTCTGGCTTTCTGTCCCCAGCTTTTCACTGTGCGTAGAACTAAGGCCTCTGTCTCTAGCTTTCTCCACCCTGCTTCTTGAATTCATTGCCCTCCCAAAAGAGGCCCAGCTCCCACAGCCCCCTCTGCTTCACATCCTGGTGGCATCCAGGTGGCACCCTGCGCCTTGCTTCCAATGAGCGCGGTACTGGCTGCCCCATCCCTGCCCCCCAACCCAGAGGACCCGTCTCCGGCTCGTGCCACCCGTCTCCCGCGTCCCTTTCTCCGCAGCCTCCGGACCCTCTTTGAAATCCTGGACGATCAGCGGAGCGGGACCATCCACATCTCGGAAATCGAAAGCCGTTGGGGTCGCGGAGGCTCTGGGGTGACCCCTCAGGGAGACAAAGAGAGATGTCAGCTCCCGCCCGGGGTCCTCCAGGCCCTACAGCAAGTGGCCGAGCCCTGCAGGGGCTACTTGAGTTTCCCCCGCTTGGTGGCCGGGTTGAGAATTGCCCTTGTGCGGGCTGAAGAAGAGGAAGAGAAGGCCAGAGAGAGCACCAGTGCCGAAAGCGGACGGAGTTCGTCGCAGTCAATGAAGAACTTGAGCCGGATACGTAAGTGACGAGGGAGGGACTCTGGCGGGTTGGAGCCAAAAGCCAGGACTCCTCAGTTCTTTGAGGAACCGGGGCACCGTTGGGACATAAGTTATATAATGTGTGTGTGGGGGGTGAATTTAGTGAGCAGGAGCCAAGAGTTCTTTTGCAAGGCCCAAGACAGTCAGTGTGGTGTGGTGGTTAAGAGGGGCAGACTCTAATCTGGAGAATCAGACGGGTGAGTCCCCACTCCTCCTCCACCCAAAGCCTGCTGGAAGGCCTTGGGCCAGTTACAGTTCTTCCGGAATTCTCTCAGGCCCACCTGTCACCTCACAAGGTGCTTGTTGCAGAGAGAGGAAGGGAAGGTGATTGTAAGTTGCTTGGAGACTCCATTGGGTAGAGAAAAGTGGGGTATAAAAACCAACTCTTCTTCTTCTTCAGTAGGATTGAAATAGAAGTGAGGGGCCAGGAAGTCAGTGCTTCCTGGTTTCTCCAGGTTGTTAGGCTGATCAGTTGTGAGGGCGTATGGAAAAGGATAGTCCAGCCTTATTTTGGAAAAGCCGGCCTCGATTTCCTTTTGTAGGCCTGCCAGGTCTGGGTTGGGAAATTCCTGAAGATTTGGGGGTGGAGCCTCGAGAGGGTGGGGTTTAGGGAAGAGAGGAACCTCGGCATGGTATAGTGCCATAGAGTCTACTCTCCTAAACAGCCATTTTCTCCAGGGGAGCAGATCTGTGTCATCTGGAGATCAGTTATAATTCCAGGAGATCGCCAGGACCTACCTGGAGGTTGGCAGCTCCAATTTGATCTTGTCAGCTTTGCCTGGAGGAGACCTGAGCAGCAGATCTTAGCAGAGTGAAAGAGTAGAAGGAATGGAACACGTAGAGCATACCCAGAGGTAGTTCCAGGTGTCGTAAGCCTTCTGGGAAAGAGATTTGCAGCGTTGCTAAAAATCCATGAGAAAAACGGCCTAGATGGTTTCTTGTATCTTTGACAGCCACTTGCTCTTCAGAAATCAGCAGGAGGAAGGGAGAAATGCACAACAAAACTTGCTACTGTCTGCAGATCTAACCCCTGTTAAAGGTACGGGAGCAGGGCTCATCAAAAAGTTGGCTAAGTGTACGTCTCCTGTTTTTCACCTCGCAATATTCACATTCACAAATAAGATGCTCAAAGCTAATTTTAGTGGCATGTGGGGAAAAAAGTCTGAAAGCAGGTAGGCCTTATTCTGCCCAAGTAGCTTGTATACGTGGGTTTTATCCATCTTTGAGAACTCCTCTTGTATCAGGGTTGCCAGTTGGCCATGGAAAAAATGTCCTGTCCCTTTTAGTTGTTGTTGTTCAGTCGCACAGCCGAGTGCGACTCTTTGCAACCCCATGGACCACATCACACCAGGCCCTTCTGTCTTCTGCTGTCCTCTGGAGTTGGCTCAGTTTCATGTTTGTTGCATCTATGACACTGTCTAACCATCTCATCCTTTGCCGTCCCCTTCTTCTTTGACCTTCAGTTCTTCCCAGCATCAGGGTCTTCTCCTGTGAGTGCTCCCTTCTACACCAGTTTGTTGTAGTGGTTCAGTGCGCGGACTCTAATCTGGGAGAACCGGGTTTGATTCCCCACTCCTCCACTTGCTCCTGGCTGGATGACCTTGGGCAAGCCGTAGTTCTGATAAGAGCTGTTCTTGAAAAAGAGCAGCTTCTGTCAAGAGCTCTCTCTCAGCCCCACCTACCTCACAGGGTGTCTGTTGTGGGGAGGGGAAGGGAAAGGAGTTTGTAAGCCGCTCTGAGACACCTCTGGGTAGTGAGGGGTGGGGTATAAATCCAATCTCTTCTTCTTCTTCCCTTCTCATTTGGTGGCCAAAGTATTTGAGGTTCAGCTTCAGTATCTGTCCTTCCAGGGAACAATCAGGGTTGTAGTTGAGGTTTTTCATGGCATGGAGGTAAATCATACTATCACCTGGTATTTGGTGCCAATCAAACTAATAGTAAAGGGTTAACTAGAGAGACTGGTTTATAAGCTGTCAGTCCTATATGTGCTATGGCTTTCTGGACGACTACCTCACTGTGGAATGCTGGTAGGGGACCACGTCTGATGGCTCAAGGGAGGGGCTGTGGCTCAGTGGTAGAGCATCTGCATGGCATGCCAAAGATCCCAGGTAGGGGTGGGCATGAACCGGGAAAATGGTGATTCGTGGGGGGTTCACAAACCACAAACTATCATGAACCTTTCAGTTAGACGAACCAGTTCATGGTTCATGGGGTTCGTCAGGTTTGTGACTTCAAGATTCGGTAGAACAGACCACCTGTGGGCTAGAGACGCCAGACTCACAGCTAGTCTCAAGCTGACTCTTTTCTACCTGCCCTCCAAGTTTGGTGAGGATTGGATTTGGGGGGGGGATTATAACCAGTGTTCTGAGTTAGTGTGAGCTAGCTCACAGTTTTTTAGCCTCCGGCTCACACATTTGTCTCTTAGCTCAGGAAGGATGGCTCCGGAGCAAACTAATTTATGCAGTAGCCAAATCACTCGCTCACAACTTTAGTGCCAGTAGCTCACCAAGTAGAATTTTTGCTCACAAGACTCAGCAGCTTAGAGGGAGCATTGGTTATAACCCCTCCAAAGCAGGTGGCCCCGGGAAACTGCTCTCTAGGGAAATCACAGCTGCAGATTCAGAGTGTGTCAACCAGTCCCCCTGGCAGCCAGAGTAATCTAACTCACAGCGGACCTCCCCCAGGATACCCCTCTACCTTCCCCCCCAAGTTGTGTGCAGATTGGCTTGGGGGGGGAGATTCTAGAGTCCAAAGTGCAAAAGGGGGAGTGTGTTGAGTGCCCTCCCCCGCAAGCTAGAGGCATCCAACTCACAGCGGACCTCCCCAGGATGCCCCTCTACCTGGGACTCCCGGGTTCAATCCCTGGCATCTCCAGTTAAAAGGATCAGGTGAAAGACCTCTTCCAGAAACCCTGGAGAGCTGCTGCCAGTCTGAGTAGACTAGGGTTGCCAAGTGTTACCTGTATCCGGAGTGGGGGACTCCCGGCTTGCTCCGGGAGTGTGCGCATGCGCCGCACGCACGTCACCCAGAAGTGACGTGACGCCGCCGGGCATGCTGGGGGCGGGGCCACAACCATCCGAGGGAAAACCATAGAGTTTTCCCTCGGATGACCGGGGGCGGCAATCCTAGAGTAGACAATACTGACTTTGATAGATCAATGGTCTTATTACGTATGAGGCAGCTTCATATGTTAAATGTGCCTCTCCTTTATGAAAACTTCTCTGTGTGTGTGTGTGTGTGTACGTGTGTATCACGTACCTTTCTTCTTGAGATGCTAACTTTCTATATGCAGAGAAACTTCAAGTTAGAAAAACTGTCCCTCAACTGGAACCTAGATCTGCCTCTTAGTGGCTTCAATTCCCCCCCCCCCTTAATGATAAAGGTACATCTTGACACGGGGAGTTTAGTTCTTTTCTTCTCTTTGTATGGGATATGCTAGTTTACATTATAGAGAGTTAATTTCTGTTTGACTTGGAAGAGGGCGTTGGAAATTACAGGGCCTCGGGGCAAGTGGTTTGGGCAAGAGTCCCTCCTGGGCTGTGGTATAATAAGAGAGATGTGTGTGTGTGTGTGTGTGTGTGTGTGTGTAAATAGGCACATGGAGGAGTGTGTTCAGGAAATAAACAAAAAGAAGAATCATTACAAGTAATCTTGCCAGCCTCCAGATGGCACCTGGAGATCTCCCAGCATTACGATTGATTTCCAAATGACCAAGATCAGTCCCCCTAGAGACAATGGCTAGAATTCCCCTAACGCCGCAGAGCCTTCACCCTGGACTGTTTCAATGTCCTCCCATCTGCCCTTCTGGAAGGGAGATATACACGAGGCCCATATGGACAACGTCTCTGCCCATGTCAGTCTGCAATGGTAGAAACAATCGGACATGTCCTCTTACATTGCCAGTTTTACAAGGCCATTTGAATATATATGTACATTACCCCAACTCTGTCCAAATATCCAGGCAGAACAGATTATTTTTATACTTCTCTTCTTCTTCTTGCTGATCGCTTTAACTAAACAGCCCTTAAGGTCGCAAGTTTCTGCACTCTGGCATGTTCAACAAGGCAGAAGAAGACGGTCTAGTATTGCAACAATTTTATTATGACTACTAATTGTATGTTTTCTGCACAGAATATCTCTTTTATGCATCCAGTGTGTATTACGTATTGCTGATATTCTCGACGGCTGATCTTGGATCATAATAGTAATGTAGAGGAAGTAGAGAAAATGGCTGCTTTGGAGGGTGGACCCCATGGTTTCATACCCTGCTGAGCTCCCTCCCCTCCCCAAACCCCGTCCTCCTCGGGCTCCACCCCCCAAATCTCCAGGTTTTCCCCAAGGCAGAGCTGGCAACTCTAGTTAGAAGTGACATACAAGGATTGTGATTACTTTCCCGTTCCCTGCTCTGCAAACTCTCCCCCCAGCGGCGAGGACCCTGCCAGGCCGACCACTCAGTCAGGACAGCATACGGCCAGGGGTTTAGTGCTCCTGATCCCGTCTCCCCAGCCATAGAGACGACCAATCCTCTTAGCCGGCTGCTCTGATCCGAGCTCCCCGCTGGTAAGGAGCTTTGGTTAATGGGACAAAGAATAGAGGTGGGGAGGGGGGAGTCGGATTAGACTGTATAAATAACTATCCGGTCTCTTCCCATGTACCTTTGTCCATTCTTCTCTTTCTCTGTCTCTCTTTTGTTTTCAGGTTTTATTTCTCTTAAACATGCTGTTCCATGCCATTGAAAAGAACACATTCCAAAGGTTTTAAAAGCAGTTCACAACAATTAAATAATGGCAGGGAATGCATGTTGATATAAAACACCCTAAAATGGAGAAGCCACAGAAAATTGTTTATGACCTACTATCTGAAATAGGGTTGCCAACTCTGGACTGGGAAATTCCTGGAGATTTGGGAGCGGAACAGAGTTTAGGGAGGGAAGGGACCTCAGCCGGGTATAATGCCATAGAGTCCACTCTCCAAAGCAGC